CATTGTAATAGTGAGTTCTTAAAACCACCGAGAGAAAAAAGAGCACGAGGCATGCGTCTTGTTACGCAGATATCCTTTTTGAACAAAGAATTAAGAGGAGTACTGAAGATGAATAACGCGGTCACTCCTATATCGCCAATTAAGGGACTAAATAATAAAGTAGAGGTTTTCGACTGTCGAATCTGACGATGTTCACCGCGTGCTTCAGCAGGCTGAAAACAAACGCGGTGACTTGCGCACGCTTTTGTTTTAAGTGATACTAGACTTGCAATGCATCTACCGCACTCTCTCTCTACCCTCACTCGTCCATGTTCGGTGTCCTGGCAGCGTCGAGAAGACCGGGGTGGGATGAGGCGATTTCGACAATGCCTCGTATGTTCCACAACAGGAACAGGTACACTAACTTGCAAGTGAATTCGTTTAATGTATCAGTAGACTTGCACAGCATCTAACGCACTCTACTGTCTCACTCACATAAACCCGGTGACTAGACACAGTAAAGAAGATCGGAGGCAGAATCGAGTGCTGGTTGGGCATTTGTTATCGGCGTGCAATCCCATCTAAACAGGCCGCGTGATAGATGCGCTGGACCAACACGGGGGCCAGGTCAGGGTACGGCAGGCTTCATTCGGGTTGCGTACTGATGACAAATGCCGAACATGGAGGAAGGAGGAGGGGGGCGGGGACACACAAACACATTGTTATAACCTGTAGTACCCTCATCAAGCAGGGATCAGGCGTTTGGCGTGGCGTAAGTCTGCATCTACGCGTGTCATAGCACTCCCTGGTCAACAACAAACAACTGACCAGAGTTTTAGATTCACAGCAAAATGATGGAAGTGGTGGTACCGATGCAGCCTCACACAACATAGGCCTCCGTGAGAAGAAGACTCGATCTCTGGGACAATATGTTTATTCGCCTGACGTTTCGACATCCGTCGCGGATTCATAATCATTTTATTCGCCTGACGTTTCGACATCCGTCGCGGATTCATCATCAGAGACATGAGCATTAGCACAGTAGAATTGCTACTATTCATGTCTCGGATGATGAATCCGCGACTGATGTCGAAACGTCAGGCGAATAAACATATTGTC